CCGGTTCGGACCGGATCGCCCGATCGGGTAGCGATGGAGGTGGGTGGTTCGGAGAACCGGTAGCAAAAATCCCTCCCCCCATGCCCAGCTGAGCTGCACAATCATCAGAGGCATTTTTTTTACTTTTAAAAGCATTTTTTCTACAACTTCGGCCAAAAATATGCTTTTAAAAGTTAAAAAAAAAAGCCTCTGATGATCGCGCGGCTCGTCAAAGGCATTTAAAAGAAAAAAAACCCTTTTTTTCTTTTAAATGCTCTGACGATCCCAGCTGAGTTCCCTGATGGCAGAGGCTTTTTAAAAAAGCCACTGCTGATCAGGGAACTCAGCTGGGATCGTCAGAGCCTTTTGAAAGCATTTTTTTACAACCTCTTAGCGGAAGAGGTTGTAGAAAAAATGGTTTTAAAAGTTTTTTTAAAAATGGCCACGCCCACCCAGTCACTTTACCCCTCCCCAAGCCACACCCATAGAACCGGTAGTAACAAATTTTAGATTTCACCCCTGGTAGAGTTGCAGGTCCAACATATCACAGGCACTGGCCTGGAGGAAGGAAAGGGAAGAGTCAGGCTCCTTGGACTGCCCTTGGCTGTTGTTGTGAATTAAATATAGCACATTCTGTGTCAATTTGCTTCATTTCATCTCAAGTCCAGGAGCTGTACTTCTGATCTCCAAGGAGCCTTTATCAGAAGGAAAATATGGGGCAAGATTATGGGGGATTTATATACAAGGCAAATGGTTCCAAAACCTACCTTGCAGAAAACTTGGAAGTGAAAAATTGGGATTTTTGTGTTTGTGTGTATGTGAATGTGAGAGAGGGAGAGGGAGAGGGAGAGGGAGAGGGAGAGGGAGGGAGGGAGGGAGGGAGGGAGGGAGGGAGAGAGAGAGAGAGAGAGAGAGAGAGAGAGAGAGAGAGAGAGAGAGAGAGAGAGATTGACTGCCATTTGGTGAAAGAAAGGAACTTTTCCTTAACAGGGGCTTAAGGAGCCAAGAATATACTGCTTACCCAAGCATGAGTAGGTGCGTGTGAAAAAGTGTAGGATATGTTTTAAAAAACACATATTAAAAAGGTTTCAGTTCTAAACATATTGAGGGGCAGTGATGTGCGGTCAGGCTGGCTTTGGATCACTGAATGCATCTTTCCCTTGTTGATGCTTTATTTTCCAGGGATTATCTTCGATACAGCAGCATCTCCTGCCTCATTTCACTATTAAGGCCTGTTGTTTTCCGGTTGATCTTTCAAAAAGCTCTGTTCCTTGCAGTTGTAGAGAAACATGCAGCACCCAGTGCAGGGAGAGAGAGAAGAGGGGCTGGAGGCTGGGGAGGGGGGGTCGGGGAGGTGTGGGGGGGGAGTCTGGGAGACTCCCCTCAGAGGGAAGGAAGTAGAAGATCTGCCAATGTGGAAGGTACCCCTGCAGATTGAGAGGAATATCAAAAGACAGCAGAAATAATGGAGTGCAATAGCACAGCAAGCGGTGTGTGTCTCCGTGTGTCTCTCTGTGTGTAATGTGTGTGTGTTCATTCCCAGAGAACATTTTTTGTTCCTTTCAGTCTTCTCAGAGCAAAATTTAGGAAAGTTTCCCTAAAAGTTTGTAAGGACCAAAGCATTCGGTGCTGCTTTTTCAGTGCATCTCTCTTGTCTCTCTCTCTCTGTCTCTCTCTCTCTGCCCAGTTGTTTCAAAGCTAAGCAGCAAATGCAGGGTATGTTATATAAGAGTGCTGACGATTGAATGTGGGTTTACTGAGTGCCATTGATTGTTTTGCTGAGAAATGCCCGGCATGATGAGTGGAGTGGCAGCAAAGCCACAGCTATCTCTGGCCTTGGCTGCAGCAACTCCTTGGGGGGCAGTTAAGACCGGCTGAGAACGGAGTGGATGGAAGGGCCAGAGGCATCAATGGTGGAAATCCCCAACTGCTGAGTTCACTGCTGAGGCGGCTGATTCTTCACCTCCTTTTTTCAAATGGTAATGTAGTGAGGGAGCCAACGTGTGTGTGTGCGTGTGAGAGAGAGAGAGAGGGAGAGGGAGAGGGAGAGGGAGAGGGAGAGAGAGATCATTGTTTGGTAGGTTCTCACCTGTAAAATGGAAAGTTTGATATCCCGCCATTCCTTTCCCCTTACTAATCAGCACTATTTGCACTATGAGTTACGTTGCTTAAAATTGCCTCCCCAATTACTGTAAGGCCTCATCCACCTTTGTTAAATGAATTAGGTTTCCATGTTACTTGTCATCGACACACACAAGAAGCTAATTTGGATCCCGGACGTTTCTGAGTAAATCTCCGATTGTGGTTATGGTATGTTAGCAGGGTAGCAGGTTTAGGGATTTTGTAGAATTCCTTTATCTGAAGCAGAATCCTGTGCAGTTCGGAGCTTTCCTTTTCTTAACAACTACATCAAGAAAATGGATCAGTTGGATGAGTTGGATTCGGTCTCTTGTTTAAAAATTACATTTAAAAAATCCATGTGAAGAGCTTCCCAGAGCTATTCCTTTACTAACTAAAGTTAAAAGTTTTTCTTTTATGTGCTCCTCTTTGGGGGTAGTGGGGACAGAATATTGAGACTGCATAGATATATTTCTCTTACCTACTGTATGAAGAGGAGTGGATTTTGTGTTAAAATGATGTTGCCTTAATTGTCCACCCACAAGCAGCATCTGAAGCTGGGAAGGAAACTTTGAAATCTTGATCTCCAACATTCCTGGACAATCTATTTTATCAATGTTTGTTGATCTAATTCCTTACATGAAATTTGGATCTTTTCTATTTGCTTTGCTGGCTATCCTTACAGCTGAACAAGATGTTTTGAAGGGAATGTAAATGTGGTTTATCTATTTTACTATTGCAATTACATAGCATCACTGTGGCATACAAATCAAAACATCCAAGGCTCAGTAGTCCAAGAAGAAAAATCAGGAATCATCTAAATAACAGCCACCATATAGGGCAGACAAGCAGAAGTCTAGCAGAGCACATCCATGAACACAATGAAAACTCCTTAATTTCACAACACATGGACAGAGTTTGAAACCATAGTTTCAACAGTGAAATTGTGAGCATCCTACACCAAACTTAAACCCAAAAATGGCAGGGAATGCCTGGAAGTTTGGCATTTAGGCAATTCAGCCTTCAATAGGCATATAAAAATAAACCACATTCACACACCATTCAAAAATGACATGGAATAACAAGAAATGAATGAAAGGAAAAATGAAATGAAAAGCAAAAAAGGAAACCAAAAGACACATCCTCTGCAGAAGCCAACACTCAGATAAGCAGGGATTAATCATCAGACAAATAAGTAGAAAACAACACCTTAATTAAGGAAGTACCAAGGGGGGGAAAACCACACCCCCAGCAACACTAATAAGGCAAACTACTACTGTATATAAACAGGGAACATGCCCCATACTTACTTGCACTGATGATATTACCTAGTTGGGTAATGAAATGTCTGCAAGCAAACAATCAAACTCAGAAAGTGCCAAAATGCCATAGTAAGTCCTACTTCTCTTTGAGGGATGTTTCTCATAAAAGACAACTGTAAGGAAGCAATTTGACTTCAACATCTGGAGTCCCTGATATGACAGAGCTAACCTAGTAGTTCGGATTGTTTGATTGACTTGATTTCCAATGGAAGGAATTTCTCAAATATAACCCTGAAACTCAGAAAAGCGACAATTCCCAGAATTCTGAAAAATGAAGCCACAACAATTAAAGAAATCTAGAACTTACTGGAGAATCTAGCTATTTTCATTTCTTTTAAAAAAGCACATGGCAGCATTTAGAGCTCTTTGATTGAGTTCAGAAATTAAGCTATGTCAGTTCCGGATAATATTTAGATAGGCAATTCCAGAGCTATTGACTAGGCTGGAAAGTTGAAAAATCATCCCAAAGAGAAATCAGTTCTGCAACATGTGGAATCAAACTCCACCTGAAAATCTGTTTACCTTTAGTAAAAATGCTGCTACTAAATCTCCTTCAGTGTTTGTAATTTGACGTGCGAAGGTGGTATCAAGATGCCAGACTGGGCTCTTCTATAACAAAATGGATAATCATGTGCAGAAAATGTTCTATATCTTTAAGATAATAAGTGTGCACATGTTGTCAAGTGATATGAAAAGGTTCTTAAAAAGAAAACTAGGGAATTTAAAATGGGAAAATACCATTTCACAATACAGTTGTGAAGGTACAACTATGTCATTGACTCAAGAATATAATGGGAAATTATCTGCCACCCAGTCAGCATAATTCTTATTGAAAAAGTTTTTCAAATACAGATTTTTCCCCCTTTTTTCTCCCCCCCTCCTCCCTAACCCCCCCTCACCACCCCTCCCCCTGTGACTTCTTCAAAGTAAAATCCAAATTCATAACAGATTATATAATACTTTACCATTCCCTTACTCCATCCCCCAAATACTGACCCTTTTTTTCTAATAATATTATTATATCCCCCTTTTACTATACATTTCAAAATAACATTCTACTGTAACATTGTATAATGACTTCTGGTTTAACATAGCAATATTATTATAACTCCCAATTTAGCAATAATCTACCCTTTTTCTCCTCCCCCATACATATATCTCTTAAATCAAACCTGTTATGTATATTAATATAAATCTCAAAACAACCTTCCACTTTAAAACTATATAATTCAAAGCAGCCTTCCACTATAAAACTATATAATAAATCCTAATTTAACATTTATTCAACTCATAGTCTGTCCATTTCCTCCACTCCCTTAAATATATCTCTTAAACATCTCTTTTCTTAAACTAAACCATCAATAAACTAGCCTATCTCCACCCACTTTCCTACAAAATAACAATTCTTAATGTCTTTATTCTTCTGCCCACCCTGTTAAAAAAAAAAAATCCCTTATATAGATAAAATCAATAACTTTAAACTTGTAATCCATATAATGTCTTCTGTAAAGCGTAATTCTAATTGGATCTGTAATATACAGATAATGATTTTTGATTAGGCATCTGTTTGGTGATCTTTCTTGAAAATACCAATTTTACAAACAGGTACATCTTGTGTAGGTTTTTTATTTGCTGATGATAATCCCTGATCGTTCTTCCACTTACAGGGTGCTCCAAACTATCCCTCTGAATGGAGGATCCCAGCTAGAGCAATACCTGCTCCTTCTTAAGGCCTTTTCTGTCACAGGCTGAGTCAGGCATCCAGACAGCTTTTGCCGCTTTTATGTAACCAGGTAGACACAGCTTTAGTGGCTATTTTTATCTCCTGAGCAGCATCTCATTTGTGGGTTAGTTTGTATCAATTGCCCAGATTTTTAACTGCAGTAAATTTAATGTTCCTCCAGAGATAGCAAGATACAATGCACTATTTTTTTCACTTGTAAAATAGGAGAGCAGATCTTCCAAGCACTGGTACCCATGTCCACCTTTGACTTCCTTTGTGACCTTGAGTTGTTGGGCTGGCTCTGCCAAGATGCTGTTTAGACAATTAGTCTGGTTGCAGTAGCTTGGCACTCAATCCTCAGTATTTGGGGAATATTTTCTGTATTTACAAGGAAGAAGACCAGCATCTTTCTGTTCAAAATAGTGATTCCATATGGCATCTTTAAATAATTATTGGCATCTTTTAGTTTGGGAGAAATAATAGCCCGGAAAGTCTTGATTTATCTTCATCTCAAAGATTTGTTGGTTAACAAATTCTAGTTTTTGATTCTTTAGACCCTGCACATAAAATGAAAATAATCAATGGTAACTTTGTGGATCAAAGAGTCACTGACTTTTGGTCTGGGTATCGCTCAGTGTCTGTGGTGACTTATGGCCTTGTAGTGAAAAGGGAAAGATATATTGTCCATCTTCAGAGCCTTTATTGTCTTCATTATCGAACAGCAGATAAGTCTCTGCACTTCTCTGTATAGAATCCACTTCCCTTTTGAACAAATATAGAGGTAAGAATTGAACATAACTATTCATTATTCCTGATGTTTTCGTGGCTTCTTCACGAAATGGATGATCCTACACATTACAAATTAAAATGTTATTCTTCAACAATATCTACCTAAATATTCTCCCCAGATTGTACTGATGTTACACTCTGATTATTGTGTTCACTGTGTTATTAAATCAGAATGCTTGTTTGTTTTGGGTTTTTTTTTGCAACTTGGACTTGGTCCCATATAGTGTCATCCTGGACTCCTTTTTATCATTCTATTTTTATAGGGTGAGGAGAAAATGGAGTGGTGGTATATATTTAAACAGTGTGTCAAAGTTGGTTGAATTAGGTACCTAATTGGCCTTGAGGTAAATGATTTGCTCAGTCAAAGCTGAGGTACACCTTTAGTGGTTTCTTTCTCTTTGGGATTCTGCTCCTTGAGATAAGTAATGGAGGCCTCCCTTTGTTGAATCCTCCCTAGTCTTAATTCCTTGAAGCATATTAGCTGATTTTCTTGAGCATATTAGAGAGAAGAGCCATTCTCTTTGTCACAATAGTTTTCTCTGATGATCTTTGGAGATTAAATGTGCGCTGGAAGAGAGACGGTGCATTAAATTGGAAAGTTAAAAAGGCGAAGGTTAGAATTAGATTAGATTAGAATTCTTTATTGGCCAAGTGTGATTGGACACACAAGGAATTTTTCTTTGGTGCATACGCTCTCAGTGTACATAAAAAGACAAGATACATTCATTAAGAATCATAAGGTACAACACTTAATGATAGTCATAGGGTACAAATAAGCAATCAAATCATACTAGGAAACAATCAATATAAATCGTAAGGTTACAGCAACAAGTTACAGTCATACAGTCATAAGTGAGAGGAGATGGGTGATAGGAATGATGAGAAGATTAATAGTAATAGTAATGCAGACTTAGTGAATAGTTCGACAGTGTTGAGGGAATTATTTGTTTAGCAGAGTGATGGCTTTTGGGGGAGAACTGTTCTTGTGTCTAGTTGTTCTGGTGTGCAGTGCTCTATAGAGTCGTTTTGAGGGTAGAAGTTGAAACAGTTTATGTCCAGGTTGTGAGGGGTCTATAAATATTTTCACAGCCCTCTTTTTGACTCATGCAGTATACAGGTCCTCAGTGGAAGGCAGGTTGGTAGTAATTGCTTTTTCTGCAGTTCTGATTATCCTCTAAAGTCTGTGTCTGTCTTGTTGGGTTGCAGAACCAAACCAGACAGTTATAGAAGTGCAGATGACAGACTCAATAGTTCCTCTATAGAACTTTATCAGCAGCTTCTTGGGCAGTTTGAGCTTCCTGAGTTGGCGCAGAAAGAACATTCTTTGTTGTGCTTTTTTGATGATGTTTTTGATGCTAGGTGTCCATTTTAGGTCTTGAGATATGATAGAACCTAGAAATTTGAAGGTCTCTACTGTTGATACTGTGTTGTCTAGTATTATAAGAGGTGGTAGTATGGGAGGGTTTCGCCTAAAATCTACCATCATTTCTACGGTTTTGAGTGTGTTCAGTTCCAGATTGTTCCGGTCGCACCACGAGGCTAGTTGTTCAGCCTCCTGTCTGTATGCGGATTAAAAGCAGCGCATATTAATTTATTTCACTGATAATCTGACTTTTCCTGTGAGAACCTGAACATGACATACATGCTTTTCCTTCCTTATTTTATCTTCAAAATTGGTGGGTTAAGCTGGACAAAAGTCAACAATAGGCTTTTTATCATGATGAGGATTTGAACTCCTGTTTTTCTATGCTTCCTCCAGCTCTCCCAACCTCTTGGCACCATTCTCTGCTGCTGCTACTGTTTCTGGCCAGACTTCTCTTAATGAAGTGGGCCTGGTTCAGAGCCTTCTTGGCTAGGTCCATGGGCCTTTGCTTTCTAGTAAGAAGTGTAGAGCAGAGGCCGAGATTGATGAGAGATATTTTAGAAGAGCTTCTCTTTTTCATGCTTTGAATTGTTTGCTGAATAGTTTTCTCCTCATCATTTTATCTCGTGTTCAACAAAACTTCATTCGATGTTTCATGAGAGCACCTCTTAGCAGATTTCAGAAACATTTCGTTTATATAAATTATGGCTTGAGAAACGTCCTTTCACCACATTCTGGTTATGTAAGCTGATCTGTGGTAACTGTTCTGTGGGAGTGTACTATCATTGCCATCCCATTGCTTCATCAGTCATCAAAGCCACATGCTTAGATTTATTTCTCAGCTCTTTTCTTTCCATCCACACCGCTACCTATCCTGTCTTCTTTTCCTCTTATAGTAGCCTGCCTATCCGATTTTAAAAGTTTCAGGAGGATCTTTCCAATTCTTCAGACAGAGGTTCATTGGCATGTGAAGTGTTCTACATGACTTCTTAAAAACATGTTGTGTGGTTGTGCAATGTTGTACATGCAATAGAGATAATTTCATTTATCTTCCAGGCTGACATCTGGAGATCTAGGAACAAGCTAAGAAAGAATTCTGGACAACGACATCTCTTAACAACCTGCAATAAGAAAATGTTAATACAGTTTATATAAGAGAAACAAAATAAAAGTTACAGATATGTGGAAGGCAAGCATAAGACAACAGAGTTTTTGTTACACTACAGAAAGTGGCCTGAACTACAGTTAGGTATTCTAGTTTAGATATAAAGGTTTGATATTCTGTAGGTTTATCTCACTATAGAAAATAGTTTTACAAGTATCTTCCCCATTTTTATGTTATCCATGAATACAAAATTTGATTTTTTTTCCCCCTTGAGTACAAAAATCCCAAGATTTTATAGAGTCATAGTATATAAGGATTGGGAATTATCTAGCCCAACTCTGTGCCCAGTGTAGGATTCCACTAATACTGCATGCCCCATACATGGCCCAGCCTCTTATTTATACATGCTGGAGAAGTTATAAAGACAGACCGTTTCATTATTGAACAGCTCTTATCATTAGAAATTTTTTCCTGATGTTCAGCTGTCTCCTCTGAACAGATTTGTTCCCTCTTCTATAGGAAAGCCCTTCAGATGCTTGAAGAGCGCTAACATGTCTCTCCATAAACTTCTTCACACTAAATATACTCAACATCTTCAACCATTCCTTGTAAATGTTTTTTCCAGATCCCTTATCATCTTGGTTGTTCTTGTCTGGATATGCTCCAGTTTGTAAATATCCTTCTTAAACGGCATCCTCCAAACTGGATGGAATGTTCTTGGTGTAGACTGATATATATAAAGGAAGTCCTCGACTTATGGCCATAACTGAGCCCAAAATTTATGTTGCTAAGTGAAACATTTTTAAGTGAGTTTTGCCTCATTTTATGACATTTATTGCCACTGTTGTTAAGTGAATCGCTGTAGTTGTTAACTTAGTAACATGGTTGTTAAGGGAATCTGGCTTCCCCATTGAGTTTGCTTGTCAGAAGGTCGCAAAAGGGAATCGTGACCCTAGGATACTGTAACCATCATAAATATGAGTCAGTTGCCAAGTGCCTGAATTTAGAACAGGTGATCATGGGGATGCTGCAATGGTCATAAGTGCGAAAAACAATCATAAGTCACTTTCCTCACTTCTGTTGTAACTTTGAACAGTCTTTAAACGAACTGTTGTAAGTCGAGGACTACCTGTGCAGAGTAGAAAAGACCAGTGGCAGCTTCTGATTTTTGACACTTGTTGCAGTTTAGGACTGCCTTTGCTTTTTTTGCAACTGCATCACATTTCTGTCTCATGTTCAGCTTGTGATCCACCAAGACACTTGGATCCTTTTCACATGTACTAATACCAAGTATGGTTTCCCACATAATTCTCACCTTTTACTTTTCTTACCCAGATATAGCCCTTTCTATTTCTACCCATTGTTCCAATTTGTAAAGTTCCTTCTGAATTCTGATGCTGTTCTCTAAGCTCCCCATCTCTGTGCTATCTGCAGATTTGATAATATTTTTCAATCCCTCGTTCAAATCATTTATAAATATGTTGGGACAGTGCAGGGCTCTGTATGCCCCTTAGCACTTCCTTCCAATGATATATGATTATCCAAATGGTTATCCAAATTTATCAATCAAATGGTAGAATAGTCCAGCCTACATTTTTCCAACTTCTGTAATAGAATCTCATGAAAGGCTGCTGCTTGTTATTGCTAAACTGGGCAACCATAGTCTGATCATATATTGTAGTCTGCAAGGTATTGTAGATCTATAGTTCAAAGCCAAATGTCAGTTTCCAAGTTTGCATGTAGCAATAGCAATAAGACTTATATATAGCACTTTACAGTGCTTTACAGCCCACTCTAAGCAGTTTACAGAGTCAGCCTATTGCCCCAACAATTTGGATCCTCATTTTACTCACCTCGGAAGGATGGAAGTCAACCTTGAGTCTGGTGAGATTTGAACTGCCAAATTGCAGTCAGCAGAAGTAGCTTGCAGTATTGCACTCTAACCACTGTGCCATCGTGGCTCATATGTAATGGACAACCTAATTCCCAAAGTTTGAAAAGTTAAGATATAGGGGAAGGGAAAGGAAGGAGAGACTTTTGAAGGCATGAGACTTGTTTTTCAATCAATATATTATGTTCATTTAAAATTGTGGGGTTTGGAATAGACCCATTTTGTGCTTGTGCAGCATTTAGTACTGAGCATAAAATTTAGCAATCTCAGTCAGTTTTTAAAAATGATAGACTCTGAGGGCAAGCTAGGAAAGAAGAGAATAACTGCTGCAATTTCAGAAGATTAGATAGGAGGGAAAATATCTGAGAGAGAACATCATTTAAGAAATAAAGGACTGCAGGACACTGCTTGTAATTCCATATGAATTATATAATATGTGTAAGTTTACACGGTGCACACTTGTGTAACGCATGTGGAATTTTTGAAATTGGCACTGTCATAAGTGTCAATTAAAATGTAGATTATAAACAGTTTTGATTATGATCTGAATCCTGGATGTAATTTATGAAAATTCCTTCAGGATACTGGGAGGCTTTTTTTTTTATTGTTGACTGCAAATGTACAGAAGATCTTTGGGACTTCAGAAGCCATTTTAGATAATTGAAGTCTGAGAAAAGAAAAATCTGGAAAAATTAAGCAGGAAGAAAGTGTGTTTTTTCTTTCTGTTTATTTGTAAGAAATATTGGATGCTGTGGAACTCTGAAAAAAGAGTTCTGTCAAGTATTTTCTTCTAGAACAAAGGGAATGTAAATATTTTGACTTACTCAAATATAGATTATGATATTTTTTCCCTGGATATTTTTCCTGCAAAAATGGGGAATGACATTCCTGTATATGTAATAAATACATCCAGTATTCATATGGTTTTCACTGCTTTCTGATACTAAATTCTATATCCATATAAGCTAGTAATCATTAGTACTGTGCAATATGAGATTGTTCTGTCCAAACCATGCACTCCTTTCATTTGTTGCTTTTGTTTTCAACTTTTATTTTTTAATCATCTTAAGTAGTAAAAACCCTATATTGAAATAACATAGGTTACGGCATGGGCCCTCTTTATTTTAGCTTTGTTCATCTTATTTAATATATTTCTATATCACTTCTTATACCATCATGTCTCAAAATGGTTAACACTAAAACTACAGATGGTTAAAATGCAATAATAAAATGCAGTATATAAAAACAAAGTGCAAAATCATATTGAACATGACGCGCTGGGAAGGAAAAAGGAAGACAAAACTATTCACCGCTAACATTCACACATAGAGTTTTGGATATGTAACAACATGGAACAGCCAAATATCTGTTGAATTAAAAGATGGGAGGAAAAAGTCTGGACAGGTAGTTCTCAACTTACAATACTTTATTTAGTGACCGTTTGAAGTTAAGTGACTCTGAAAAAAGTGACTTACGATGTTTTTCACATCTAAGACCACTGCAACATCCCCATGGTCACATGATCAAAATTCAGAGGTTTGGCAACTGGTTCATATTTTTGATGGTTGCAGTGTCCATTTATGACCTTCTGACAAGCAAAGTCAATGGGGAAGCCAGACTCATTTAACAACCACATTACTAACTTAACAACTGCAGTGATTCACTTAACAATGGTAGTAGGACTAGAATTCCTGATCTCTCAATTTCTAGTCTGGTTCCTTAACCACTAGATCAAACTGGCTATATTTCCTTTGAAATGCTTTGGGGTTTTTTAACCTTTAATGCCCTAATTGGCTTAAGATCTGGCTGTTTGAGGGAATGTTGCTCCTGTTGTAAATCTTCCCAACCTTTTTTTTATGAAGAGTATTCGCCTTGATGTTAGAAATGGCCTTCTGTCCCATTCCCCAAGGCAATATGTTTGACCCCTATTTTCCCACTATTCAGGAAAATGACAAAAAAAAATCCTATTTTCATCAAGCTTTTAATTGTTAATTGAATTGATTTTGGTTTTAATGCAAATGATTCTAATTTCACTGGCTTTCTTACATTTTTAATTGGTATTTTTATGTGCTGTAAGCCAGTGTCAATGTTGTTTAAAGAAAACAATGGGAAAGAAAATGTAGTAAAGAAGCACTGTCAATGGCATAAATACAGTATGTCAAAGGGAAAAAATTAAAGGAAGCAATAAAGAAAAGTTTTTAATTATGCCTTTTTTGGACAGCACTGTAGAATAAGCATGTCATTGATAAGTTTTCATAAACTGTCCTCAATGTGGAAAAAATGTACATTTTTAGACACATGTAAGGCTAGCAAAGTCCAGGCAATGCTTAGGCAATGCGGTAAGTGTAAATAGAAACAAATGGGCTATAAGCAGCATATTATTACCTTTTTTGTGACTTTTATAGGGGACTAGAGGATTATTTCTAACACTGCCAGCCAGTCAACAGGGCAGGAAACTCCTAAGCAGTTCTCAGTAAAGCTTTTTTCCACCTCCGTCTCCCAAATTTAGCAGAGTATCAGAGAAGAAGTGAAAAAATGCAAGAGCCATAATCCATGTTTATGACTTACTTTTGTGACTTTGTAATGATCAGTGTGGTTTGATAGTACAAAAAGAACTAAGTTCCCTTTTTCAAACTGGTATCATTTTAAGAAGGAACAGTATCTGCTCTTGGTAAAGATTAGAAGTATCAGGGTCATTTTGTGCACCATGATTTATTGACAACTATATATTATAGTTTGACAATAGTATGTGTCTATGTAAACATATGTGTTTGGATGCACACATCCCTAAGCTAGCCATGCAACTCACAGAATTTAAAATGTTCTCCCTCTCCCTATTCTAGGATAAGAAAAGGTAAACAGCAGAGAAAAAAAGGAGGAGAATAGGATAAGGGTCAGCTGCTGACTGACTTCCTTTGTAGATGTTTTTACATATGTAAACCTACATAGTCTGATCTGGAGGGCATCAAGTTAGTAAATCCCATTGTATCACGGCTATTATTTCCTATAACAATTGAGTTTCCCTTTAATTGGAAGGTGCTGATTGATGGCCCAAACAGCATGCCATCCAACTAGCCATGATGCCTCTTCTTGCTTTCTTCAATTAAATTGTGTGTTTGTATGATAAGGCCCAGTAAGCCCGCTTGCCCATCGAGAAGCATTATAAATAGATGTGGATTTTCAGTTTCGAAAGAGGA